AGTTTAATTCCATCCTTTAAATCAATATCCTATGTGTAAGTTCCTAAATTTGGACTTTTCAAAAGGTTATCTAGCCTAGTACTATTCAAATCCAAAGACCATTAACCCCAAATATCCAAAGACCCTTAACCAACTTTAAAAAAAAGGGTGCACTCTTGTTCATAAACTTAACCTTTGTGAATTATCTCTCAAATTATTCCATTTAGTTGCTTACACTAAAGACTTTAAATTTGGGTTTTACTTTATTGCCCTTGGCATATGTGTTTAAGGGTTATGTTCCACTCTATGGTTATCCTATAATAAATTATTATAGGGGTAAACACTATGTGACAAAACTTGGTAGACTCATTTTCAATAAATAGTTTCATAATACCTTCTTTACTTCATAAGAATCAAATCATATTACTTTAGCTCAAATGAAAATTAAGATACTTATCTTACTTTTTTAGAGTGTTTAGGTTTTTCTGGTGCTGCCTTGTTTTTCATTCTGTTGTAATAATAATTAGTATAAAATGTATTTAAACAAGTTAAAAAATATTTATTCACTTCAGTTTTTACTATAGAGGCAAGTTGTTATAGCTATTGCATAACATCAGCCTCATTGCTAATACTGTTTTTAGAAACCTTTTTTGTATGAATAAAAAATATTTAAAACCATATAATAATTTACCTCAAAATCAACTACTGTGGCTATTAGTTTCTCTGACTGTGAGACAATTTTTATCTGGGGTATTATGGTGGTTTTGTTTCATAGCTTTCAACTGAGGTAATTGCCTCATCAATATATGGTTCCCTATAACTCATAAATTGAAATCACTTATGTTTTGCAAGTTTTTTATTAGTCCAAAAATATATAGATCTTGAAAGTAATATCTCATTCTTCCTCTATCATTTATATTATCCTACACCCTAAAACTAGTGCTCACTTTTGCCACTATAAATCTCATTAAATTCATTGTGATACTCTAATATAAGACTTTAGTTAATAAATAACCTCCTACACTTAAAAACCAATAAAAATTATATGGTTTTAATTTAAAAAGCTCATACCTTGGTTTTTAGTGATGAATAAAATTGTGAAATCCCATACAGCCATTTTGCTAAGGAATGGTATATGCAAACCATCTAATAACTTTAATTTAATAAGTGTGTTGTAGTGAATTTTGAGAATCTTATAAGAATGTTTTTTGTGTTGCATTTTGTCATAAACATCCACCACAATACCAGTTCGACCAACCACAATATTCTTTTTATAATGTGGTCATCTCATTCATACTAGAAAAAGTTTCTATACAAAAAAAAAAACCATATAGCTATCTATATAGTTTTCAAGTTGGTTATCAAGATTTTTATTTACTATTTTTCTTATTTTCCAAGCTATTAAATTTTTGATTCTCAAATCCTAGAATATGTGAAACTGCACCATGGTTTTATCTAGTGAGTACTCAATGTACTTCTTGCCTAAATCCTTCACTATTTGCTTTTCTTGCTTCAAATATTATTGTAGATTAATAAGTTTTTTTGGTGATCTAATATGGTAATTTTTTACTATACATGCATTTAATGAGTTGGATCTATAGCTAAATGTTCTTGTCTTTGCTAAACTATGTCTATATAATCCTATTATAAGGAACCAACTCCCTAATGTGTTGTAGGCTAAAAGATCCCCGAAATCAAGACCAAAACAATAAAAAGTTCATGGAGATAGAGTCCGAAATTAAGTCCAAAACTGAGTTCGATATTAATACAAGTCGTGTGGTGAAAGCCCAAAGTGATCATCTCCCTCGGGGTGGTCACTCTTTATAAACATTATATATCATCTGCATTCTAGAAGTTTAGAATAGGCCTAGTATACGTTTTTTGTTGTTCATAATTTGCCCCATACCCTTACATATATGCATTTTTTCAAGTCTTAAATAAACCCCCAATTCTTATATATACATAGAATATTCTGCTATTTTTGCATAAAGATGTAGAGGATGGGGATCAAAAGAAGCCTGTGGGTTTCGTCAGGGTTCATACATACATAACAACATCACACTTCATACCTACTGCACTTGAGATCTATTGCCCTCTACAACCTGCTACTGTAGACAGCCCTAGATGAGCACCACCTCCTCCCCTACCCGTACGTACGAAAATTTTCAAATTAAACTCAACCCTAAGGCCTGTATGTATACGTACGGTTTGCACCCAAAATAACCCTAATCCGTACATATAGATGATATATACGGTTATATAAAAGTGACCACCCCAAGTCATCTACTAGGGGGGGTTGCAGAGGGTTCCAAACGTATAGTAGGGATAATAAGGCTAAAGACCCAGTCTTGAAAGAATTCTTCAATAGTGCTTTTAAACTGAGTTAAGGTTGGGACTAAAGGTTAGTGACCTTGGTTGGGAGTGAATATAGACTCAGGTGGTGCCAAAGTAACCCTTTAAAGAAATCCTTAAAAACAACTCTCACTCCTGTAAGGGAAATCGACTAAGGCACCCTTAACTCATATACAATAGTGCCCCATTTGAGTATTATGTAGCTTATTGATCTTCACTCTTTCTAAGGGGCTTGGGTTTTCCCTTTGGGATGGAAGTGGGGGAGTAGAGGTACCCATACCGAGCTGTTAAGCCATAGTATTTCCCTTTTGAAGTAAGAAATACACCCATAGTTTGGGATTTAAAAGGTCCTATAATCAAATCTTGTCATACTAAAGGATATTAAGAACCTAAAGGCTTGGCATGCTTAGCTTCTTGTGCTTATTAGGAGTGTAGTCAAACCTTAAATCCAATTTAACATGGGGAGGGAATATCATATATTAAGACTTGAAGGTATGTTGAAGGTAAGCTAATTAGCATAGGTTTAGCTAAGTTGACCATGCATAAAGAATTAGGGGATGTCAATTTTGTAAACATATTCTACAAAGGTTGGATTTAAGTTCCAACCCTTTAGTAAAGCAAGATTAGGTTCAAGTCCCAACCTTCTACTAAGGTGAGGTGAGGTGAGGGGTATGGGGATAGCTATATCTTGTTATCATTGGCTCCTAATCAGGGAAGTTAACTTAGGCATACTATTAAGTGGGGGGATGCCTTTGGGGCCATAGTCAACAAGTTATAGGATTAAATAGTTATGTTTGATGTGGGTATCAAACTTCTTTTATAAGTGCTAGAGTTGTAAGGAACTAAATCTTTGAGGTGTCATAGGCTAAGGATCCCTGAAATCATGATTGAGACAATAAAGAGTTTATTGAATGAGACTAAGTCTAAGATCAAGTTCAAATCAAATCCAAGACCGAGTTTTAGACCAAGTCTAAGACTAAGCTATAAAGGGTTCCAAAAGTATACTAAGGATAGTGAGGCTAAAGACTTAGTCTTAAAGGAACTCTCGAATTGTGCTTCCAAACCAAGTTGAGGTTAGGATTGAAGGTTAGTAGCCTTGGGTGGGAGTGAGCATAAACTGAAAGGGTGCCAAAGATGACCCCCAAGGAAGTGCTCAAAAGTAGCTCCCACTCATGGAAAGAAAACCAATTACAATACTCCCAACTCATATGAAGTGGTGCTTTACTTGAATATAATATAACTTATTAGTCCTCGCTCCTTTTGAAAGGCTTGGGCCTTCCCTTTGGGACAAAAGTGGGGGAGTAAGGGTACTTATACCAGGTTGTTAGCCCATGGTGTTTTTTTTTGAGTTCCCGAAGTAAAAAATGCACTTATGGCTTAAGATTTAAAAAATCCCATAATCAAATTTTATCATACCAAAGGATGTTAAGAATATGAAGGCTTGGTGTGCTTTGTTACTTGTGCCTGTGAGGAGTTTAGCCAAACTTTCCTTAAGTTTATAATTTGATACTTTAATTAGACTTTGCATAAGTACATAAAGTTTGACCTTGCAAAAATTCCTCTATTAAATCTTGAATGTTCGCTAGGTTTTCTGTCAATTCCCATATTGCTTAACATAGTGGAATTCTCTTCCATTTTACATGGAACTCCTATCTTTGTTGCTTGCCTTTGTGCACATCCCTCTTCCCGTTAGACAACCTCGAATAAAAGTCTTATTTGGTCTTTGTGAAACAAATCCTTAAGTTCACGTGGAATATAAGATGCATCTTCTCCATCTCTTAGGGAAGTCAAAGGTGGTAAGCCATTTTACCAATTTAAGCCTCAATTTCAAAGGGCTTTGCAAATTTATTTAAAAAACTCAAGATCAATTCATTTCTAGTACTATATATATATATATATTTACTTACCTTTAAATCAATTTTTAGTTGATCCCACTTGGTATCTTTAAGTTCTTAGTGTTCAGCCACACCTTCTTCCCAAGTTAAAACACTATATCTTAACACTTTTGATTCACATATTTAATTTGTCTTTGTTAAGCCCATTTCAAAAAATCCCTCTCTATATTCTAAATGTTAAGTCTTTTCGCCTCCTCCATAATACTCAGCTATGTTAAGTTTTATAGAGCTTTCAATAGCTCATTTATTGATGACTTCCCATGGACTCACGGTGTGTAATGGTGTGTAACTTATGGGCGGCATCACGATTGTGAGATGAGCTACTTGTATTTCTGGGTCAATGAAGGTGATCTAACAAGTGCAAAAACCATGATACAAGAGCTGACATAGCTACCAATGAAGATTGTCACAATCCAAAGCTGCATTAGTGGTATCACTTGTTTCTACATGAATTATCTACTGGACATGTGAGCTTGGGGCATTCACAGGTTGAAAGATAATGGGGAATGGGTTACTATTTGAAAAATGGTACCACTGGAGTTCCCAATATTTTTGTTAGCATCCGTGGACAGGCATCGTAGATCAAGCCAAAGAGAAAGTTTGATTTAAATTGGATTGTGGTGTAGGGAGTGATAGATCAAGGCAAAGAGAAGAGCTTGATCCAAATTGGATTGTAATGCTCGAGGATAGCAAATATAAACCTATAGTTCTTATCAATAGGATTTATGTTTTTCACCTTAGGTTTAACTATAAGAACCAATGCAGGGGTTTTAACTAGGGCTTTAGTTTCAGGAATGGAGAGCATTGCCGCTGGCGGTGCGTGCTCGCTGTCTCAACACGATCCCTGCTGCGCGACTGCCAGTCCCAATACGGCCGCTCCATCCTGCGCTCGGCCGATCGTCCAAGCAGGCAAGCAGCAGCAGCAGCGATTCTTCCCATGGCGGGGCGCGATCCGGAGTGGAAGGCGTCCGTGTGGCAATGGTGGGGCGGGGCTAACCTACAAGGATGCCGGCGTTGATATTGATGCTGGAGCGGAGCTCGTGAGGAGGATTGCCGCCATGGCGCCTGGAATTGGAGGCTTTGGAGGATTGTACCCGTTTGGTACGTATGTTTGGTATGCTTTGCCTTGTATCTATCCATAAGTTTTGGGTTTTGGATGCTTTTTTCTTTCTTCCCAGGAGACTCCTATCTCGTAGCTGGAACTGATGGAGTCGGGACGAAGTTAAAACTTGCATTTGAGATGAGCAAGCACGATACCATCGGGATCGACCTGGTAGGCAGATTTTCCTTGGGAAGGATCTATAGCTGGTTTTTCTAAAGGTTGCGATGAGTGTAAACGACATTGTTACTTCTGGAGCCAAGCCGATGTTCTTTCTGGATTATTTTGCGACAAGCCATTTGGATGTGGACATTGCGGAACAGGTAATTGTTAGTGCTTTTTTGAGTGGACTGGAATAATCTTTCGTTTTTGAATAGGTGATCAAGGGAATCGTTGAAGGTTGTCGTCAATCTGATTGCGCACTACTGGGTGGAGAGGTACGATTGGCATGTATGAAAAGCTTCTTACACGTTTTTCTTAGACAGCAGAAATGCCAGATTTCTATGCACCGGGAGAGTATGATCTGAGTGGCTTTGCCGTCGGCAGTGTCAAAAAGGATGCGGTGATTGATGGAAGTAGGATAGCTGCTGGAGATGCTGTGGTCGGGCTTCCATCTACCGGAGTGCACTCGAACGGATTCTCTCTCGTTCGGAAGTACGTACAGTGTGTCATTGATCTTCAAACTTCTAGTTTTTAATTTCGTTTCAACTTTTCTTGCAGAATACTTGCTAAAAGCGGTCGTTCATTGTCAGATGAACTACCTGGAGCAGGACACAGTCCATTGACGATAGGACATGCTCTACTCGCTCCAACAAAAATATATGTGGAACAGGTTAGAGATTTTCTTACATTTGTTGCATGTCTCTTATTCGTTTGTTGCTCAGGTTTTGGATATCATTGCGAAGGGTGGTGTCAAGGGCATTGCTCATATCACTGGCGGCGGATTTACGGACAACATTCCAAGAGTGTTTCCAGAGGGTCTAGCTGCGGAGGTTAGAGTTGGTTCTTGGACTGTTCCACCAATCTTCAAGTGGCTTAAAGAGGTGAAATCATCCTTGTTAGTTGTATACTTTACTTGACGCTCTTTTTTCGATAGGCTGGAAATGTGGAGGAAGCTGAAATGTTTCGCACTTTCAACATGGGAATAGGAATGGTTTTGATTATGGAACAAATGGCCGCGGAGCAAATTCTCAAAGGAGATGAGCCCGCATTTCTGTTAGGCCAAGTGATAAACGGCGAAGGAGTCGTCTACAAGTGACATGGAAGTCTTGGCTAAGCCTCTAAATATCGAGGTTCGATATATGATTTTCCATCAACTAAAGTGTGTGCTTAATGAGAACCTAGCTATGGCTACCTGCGCGTCCGTCCTGAGGGCGCTCAGCACTGGTGCGGTAAACGAAAGTAGCAGTCTAGTCCAGTGTAGAGGCCCCCATCTGGTGCAAAGTACTCTTTTGTGTTCTCAAAGTAAGGTGAGACGAGCGAGCAGAGTGTATGCGAAGTTTGAGCGCTTCGAGGGCGGACGGGAACAGGCTGTTGTTGTGAATAAGCATGAAGCAGAAGCCGAAGAGCAGGAAAATCCTGATGAAGACGTGGAAGATACCAGTGATAGGTTCGTGTCTCTGGTTTTAGATTCTTTGTTGTGGCCTTACCGGGTTTTTTTTTCGCTTCACTTTGTTAGTGTGTTCCCAGCTGACTTGGAAGGTGCTATTGAGCAGTCTGCCGAATCCACATCGCAATTCCTCTCAGCCGGAGGGAAAAGAGCTCTCGTAAGATATTTCCTTTTGATAGTTTTTTGCAGTAGGAGTGATGGTTTTCTTGGGGATAGGTGGAGCTCTCCCTCATGGAGCTGGAGAACTTTGACACTGATGGCGCACAGCAGCAGCTCTGGGACTGCTCGAGGCTGTTTGTGAAGTCGGTGCAGAAGCGTTTCCAAAACCAGGTACGACTTTTGACGACTCTTTGTTTGGATCAAACGTGTTCGCAGCTCGTGTGCAGAAAATAAAAGCTATCTTTCCTGACATGGGGGCCGCTGCGTATGTGAAGTTCCAGTGGAAGGATGAAACCATCAAGTATGGAAGGTAGAGCACCATGTTTCTGACTTTTTGGCAATGGACTGACTAGTTCGTAACTCTGGCTGCAGTCTAAATGATCGAAAACCTGTGACGGATGACGATGACATCATAATGCTGATTGCTCCCGATCATCAAATGCTGGATCAAGTTCAAAAGATTGCGTACTCCCTTCTGGACGATGACGATATGGTAACGTTTTCTTTATTGTTTTCCCGCATTGCAATCTCGGCAAGCCAACAGATCTTTGTTTGATGCCAGCAAGAGAAGCCATTGATAATGTGGAACCCCCAGCTTTTCAGCGGCGACGTTGGTATTGGCCTAAACGTTCGTAGAGTTCGCAACGAATTTTTAAGGTACAGAAAAAGAAAATGGAGAAAGATATTTTGGAACATCTTTGCAGAACCTTTACAACTGTGTACTCGCTAAAGCCTTTGCCTACTGGCGCCATTTTTAAGAGATACCCCGGGTATGATTTGCTGCCTCTCTCTTCTTTTTCTGTGCTTAAGCTATCAAGCTGGTGTGCAGGCTTTGGAAAATCTTTCTGGACGATAAACAACGACCCGGCCGCTACTTGTTCGCAAGGGAGCAAGCTAGCAAGCCAGACGCTGAAGACCTGGAGGTTTGTAAACTTTTAAAGCTTTTCTACGCAGTTCCAGCAAGACTTAAGCGTGTTCTTTGTAGGCCATCCTACTCCAAGGCTCAGCCCCGGGAGACGAACCGCAAGTACCATCGTTTCTCGCCAACGCAATGGCAACCATGTCATATCTCGGTCGATTCATGAGATCGCTTTCCCAGTGAACAAACATACATACATGCATACATCGAGGTAAGTACTTTCTTCTACTCAGTGTCCTTCCCCTACACCTATGGGAGAGGAAAATAAAAAGAAAGGTAGTGGTGCTGACTCTTGCAGAGTACTGGTAATGGTACAAGGTTTTTTTGTTTCTTCCTAGTTAGCTCCATCTCTTAGCTCTTCCTAAAGTCAATGCCAGAGGAACTAACAGCACTAGTGTGTTGTGTTTGTCAAAATCCAGCGTAGCAGCTGCATCGATTTGGCAGGAGGATTTGCTGCTGCGGCTGCGGCTGCTGCTGCTGCTGCTGCTCCGGTTTGTTCTCGGCATCGCTACCTTGCTGGCGAAGATCCGTGGAGCTGTCGTCACTGTCGAGGAGGCGATGGACGCCGCAGCAAGTGGCCAGGACGAGCGCCGAGCAGCAGACTACTTCTCGCTCCAGATGCGAGCAGTAGCTCTCGAACATTGTCACTGTTACTTGGAGGCGAAAGTCGAGACGAAAGAGGAACTGTAGCTCCAGGCGATTCATCTCCAGCGTGCTCACTCCCCCGACTTTGGCGTAGTACGCATTGTTATAGTACCTGAAGCAAGAGCCACAAACTTTTCAGCCAAGAATCGCAAAAGCATTGATCGAAGAACCAAAAGTTCCAGAAAAGCTCAAGAAACCCAAAAATCACCTACTAGAGAGGAGGAAAGAGAGCTTACGCATCATCAAGGAACTTTGCGGCCACCATGACGCTGGTGATGAGGAGGCGATGGACGTTGAGCGAGGTGATTGGAACATCCGGCTGCTGGTGGATGAATCGATCCATGTACGCATAGGCGACGACGAAGCACGCAGGGCTACAGTTGGCGTACTTGAAAATCCTCTCCAGGTACTTCTCGATGCTGATGGAGGGCGCCCTCAATCCATGGAAAACCGTGAGCTTGGTCGCCCCCCCGCCCAAATGCCTGTGGTTGCGCGCCACCACTCTCTCGAGCAGCGATGCCAGGACGGAGATCACAGTCGGGGGCCGATTCTCCATCGCTCGCCCGCTCAGGGAAGAAGGGGAAGAAAAGGAAGAAGAAGTAGACCCTGACGATAGCAATGTCGTTGTTCTCGCCGTGGGTCGGCTCCCCAGCTCGCGATCACACACCACATCCACCATCTCTCAGCTAGAATCCCTCCTTTGCTGCGCTGCTTCTCTCTCGGACTCAAGCAGAGTGCTCACAGCGAGCTCGGGCGAGCCAGAGAAGGCGAGAAATGTGGATGGAGCTCTCGCTCGCGATCGCCCATCACATTGCCACTCCCGGGGAGAGACGAGATGGAGGAACTCTCGCCCACGCGCTCTCCGCGAGCTCAAGGAGAGCCAAGAAAACCCAGTGAGAGAAGGCCGAAAGAGGAAGAAAGTGACATTGGAACGAGGGGAGTTTTTAAAAAAGACAGCTCAAGCCTAACTGGTGGCCAGCCACCGACACGTCGGCGTGCGGGGTCGGTACGAACCGGGTTACGCCTCCGTACGAACCACAAATCTCCTTTTTCCAACTCATTTTCGATTTTTTTTTCTTTCTTTTCTCTATAATCTCGTTGTTGTGGAATGCTGGGCTGGATCCTGTGGTTGCTGACTTACGGCAGAAATTGGCATCCTTGCAAAATAAATTCATGATTGGTCATGCAGAAGCTTCAGAGCATCTTCACATCTTGTTTTGTCATGGCTTGATGTTCTTCTTAGAGAAATAAAATACAAGAAAGATCAAGCTCTTGTGGTGGTTATGTGTCCATGGACAAAACCAGGGAATCTCTGCCAAAACACACTGCTGCTGATAGACATTGATGTGCCAGAAAAACCCAATATGCACGTTTTCTCCATTCCATATATATAGCTTATTAATACTATAAGTGTTTAGTTTCCATATTACCTTTAAATTTATTAATTGAGACGATTCATGCTTGGATTTGCAATAGAATATTATTTTGTGAAATTTTCATTTAGATATCTGACAGATCCTATTAGAAAAAAATCAAAATATAATAGAAAACTTTATCATTAAGATAAAAAAATTAATCTGCAATACAAAGATTTGAAATTATGGAGAATAATGGATGGATAATATTTTAAAAATAATTTAATATATCTAATACACTGTGTTTCTGGTTGGTGTAAGAAATATATCAAAAATATTCTTATATATTCTAGAATATTTTTGAGCTCTCTAATTTGTTTGTAATCAATATTTAATGTTAATACCTTTGTTATAATAGACTCCAGCATCAGCCCTAATAAGGAGTGTTGCACACTGGTGATTCCATAGAAGCACCTTGAGATTGAAGATTGCTTATATTCTAGTCTATCATAGAAGAGCTGATGAAATGATGTAAACTACCATGACTTGATTGCAAGGTACTAATGATGGAAGAATTACCCTTCTAAGTTAGGGTGGAGAAACTAAATGGAATCTTTCATGGGGTGTTCATCAATCTTCACTTGCTGGACATTTCTCTTATTTATGCTAAAGTATCATTAACATAAAGAGCAATAAGCACAAAGGAGGCCTTTTAAAATAAAGATTTGAATCTGTATCTTCAACCACTTCAAAAGTATACTCTATATCTTTTAAATGAAGGATGACCAAGCCTAAAATGCTATAAATTATAAATACTAGAAGTAGTGATTGCAGACTAACTTGTGAAATATCAAGGATATAAAGGTGATTTTGTCATGGAGTATATGACAAAAGATGACCATGTAAAGTAAAAGAGCATCCACAAGAATCAAAAGTTGGTAAATTACCCATATTACAATATGAGTAATAAACAAAAGATTAGTGTAAAGTGATGGAACATGAAAAATGCTTTTGACAAAATGAGTCACCTTCTGCTATGTGGCATCAGAGGCAATGATAAGAGTAAAAGAAGAATTAATAATTGACAAAGTGCTAATAACATAAGCATAATTGTGTTTAAAATCCTCAATAATAAGAGGATGAATCATTGAGAGTAGCATATGTCTGTTATTGTTTTCCATTAAGACTAGTAGTCATATAACTTGAGGAAGTTGTCATAGATAAGGATAATATGAAAAACTGAATGAATATAATCTGGACACTAACAACAAATTTGGGAAGCATGTCTAGAATAATGACAAAACCCAAAAGATTAATAACAAAAGTATGCTATATGACGAGATTGACCAGCAACCACTGTTAGAATGACCATAGGAATAAAATGAATCTTGTGTAAAAGAGAGTTGCTTATTTGAAATATAAGCACTAGTAGAAAGTGATTGAGAGTAAAGTGCTAGAGTAGAAATGTTGAAGGAAGATACTAAAGAAAATGGTCATAAATGGGAGTAAGAGCAATCTTAAAAGTACACTAATCATTTATCATAACCATGATAGTAACCACATTAAAATACTCTAAAGGAAGAATATTCAAAAACTGAAGTGATCTTTTAGGGTAAAAATCATGCCTATTTGCTTTAAAAGATCCTTAAAATGTTTAATATGTCACTCAAGATCAATGTCAAAAATATATTTGAGGGATTTAAATTGCTCTTTCAAATAAAGAATCTCTGTATCAATCTTCTAACTAAAAGATCATGAAGATATGACTAAATAATAGTAGCAGAAGGATGGGATAAAACATTAATATAGATATTATTCTGAAGAGTCAACAATAAAGTAGAACAAACATAAATATCTTTCTTGAGCTTTCCCATATTTAGAAATGCTTTGTACAAAAGCGACCATCATAAGTCACTAAGTCTGTTGGCCATGTTGATTGTTTACCACATAATCAGTATTAAGCATTGACCACACAAACAAAGATACAATAAAACCCACTCCAACAATAACAACAGTCTATCAATATAAATAAAATAATTAATAAATGAGCTTAAAAAAATCAAGAGAGCTCAACAAAACCTATGTTTTAACAAAAGAGCTTAATAAAATCAACATTCCAACAATGAAGCTCAACAAAATTAATATATCGATAATCCTTTATATCAAACCATATAAGAGTAGCTAACTAAAGAGCTCAACAAAATTGACATTCTGACAAGGAAGCTCAACAAAATTGATATTCCAACAAGGAAGCTTAACAAAATCAAAATGTTAACAATCCTTTACATAAAAAAAAAACCATACGTTAGTAGCTGACAAAAGCGATCAACAAAATCAACAATCTAACAATTACTTTAACGATATTGATCAACAAAAATTTTGACAAATTGACAGTCTAACAATCTTTGGCAACAATTCTTTTTAATAATCTATTTCAATAATCCATTCTGATAATCCTTTTTGACAATCCTTGTTAACAGAACAATAATGCTCTTCAATACCAAACAATACTCGAAATGTGGTATATATGTTCTTAATCATCAAAATTGAGGATAATTTAGCCCTACACAAAAGCTACATGTTCCAAGATATTCAAATTAGAGATGTGAAAGAATTCAGAAAATTCCCACAACTAATGTAGTCATTTGGACAAACAGAATGATTGAAAATAGTATAAACCTATGTACTTCTAAAAATCATAATCATGGCTTTGGGTATAAACTCTTTATCTAAAGACTCCAAAGACTCTTATGCTGCTCTGTAACAGGTTGATTGGATCACTGCTATGATACCATGTTATCTTGATTGAATCCCTAATGCACAATCCTTAATTGATGTGGACTTATATATATATATATACATATATAAGGAAAACATGTCCAGATATAAAATAGATCCTTATATAGACTAACACTATGTTCTGGTGGCCGTGCCCCAAAGATCCAAGGCTTATGCCTTCTCACCAACCTTGTCGCTGCAACCAGCATTGTCACTCTCCAAATATCCTATCCACATATGTGAGCCAGCAATCCACTCCTCATTCCTCATCCATGAAGTTACATGGCCCAAAAAAGTAGGCAAGGATCATTGAGGCTACATACTTCTCATAAACATGCCAATAAGACAAAAAAGATTAAGCTCTTTGATCAGCACTGGATTACTTTGAGTGCTTTGAGCAATATGGTTCTCTCCTCGAGGCTCTCGTCCATGAAAGCTGGAGGGTATGGAGGCATCAAGTGTACATAGATAAGGTTGATCTCAGAATAAGAACCTTTACTTTATTATCATCTACCTTTCTGTAGAAATCCTCAAAAAATTTGCAAAAATAATAAGAGTTATATGTAAGACATAAGACAGGAACTTCAACTAATAGTTCATATGAACCTTTATGGTCTTAATATATATTTATTAACGATTTAGCAAGTCCCCAGTTATTTTTCACCTGGGTAGCATTATGCACGAGGTTTTGATATTCAGGAAAGTCCTCAACTTTTGGCAAATTTCTTAAGATTAAATTGGTGTAACGATAGGAATGCAAACTTGGTTTGATGAAAATGCACAAGCATGTTTAGCTTAATTTAGTGTTGCCATTTCTTTTCTGGCCTCCAATACTTTTCTCGCCTACCAAAGAGAAAAATCACAAAAGCTTTCAAGAACACGCAACATTGCACAAACCTTCTAGAGGATGATTATCCATCCATTCCTCTTCTGGTGTCTTCCAGGTGACGGGAGCAAAGTCCACCAGCATCTGCTCGCAACTTTCGAGAGCCATCATCATATCTGTCTCACCTAAACAACAAGAGCGCTTTCAAATTATGAAGGATCTACAGAGAGAAGTGACTGACTACAAACTCTTGTAGTTCGATTTCCCCATTTCCTCCAGCATCTCAGCAATGGGCACGAGCTCCAATTCCCTGCCCTTGCTCGTTGTAACCGCTTCTTGGTATTGCCCAAGCTGAGGAGCCACCACAACTCCAACAAGAAATCAAGAAAAACAGGAGCTCCCAGCTCAGTGACAGCTGAACACGGCATCATCACCCCCTGGCCAACTACGACGCCCACTGTGACCAAATATTTCCAGCTGCAAAGCCATCGCTTCACAGCCATGAAGGTGGCAAAGCTTAGATTATATAAATTGCCTGGAACTAAAGACGCTGATCATGGTGGCATTGTCGGCTTGGCCGCCTCTGCTGTTGTTGGACGATGGCACAACACACCCGAGCACTGTCCAACAGGTTCCATTCGGCCTGATGAGAGTCGCCATCCCCATGCGGCTTTCAATCCCCGGCGGCTGAGACAATCTGCGAGAGCCGAGATGCACCGAGCCGATCATGCTCCCCACCTTTTCTTGCAGAAGAGGTGCGTACGTGACCTTCGGCGGTTTTAAACACCAGCCTATAGTCATGTTCCTTCTTGTTCTGGTACAAGTCCTCCTTCATGGCGTTACTTCTAGCCACATCCATCCGATGGCGATGATCGAGTTCCTGCTCCCTGGCTACCATTCGGGCAAACGCTTTGCCCACTTTCGTTTTGTGGAATGTGTCCGTCTCGCTGCGATGGCGCTTGCCAGTGATGACAAGAAGAGGCCGTCGCCCAGCTGTGCGTGATTTGGCTGCAAGGAGAGCAACGAGGTGATCTGATCCAGGGACATGACCGGGTTCCTTGAGCAGGGCCAAGTCAGCGGCACGGCGGGTCCAGCCCCCAGTGCGCTGCAATGCCATCCAGCATGACGTGGCCTCCATGCTTTCAGT